GCGAACGCGGGGGCCGCCGCGGCCGACGTCCGCGCGGCGCGGGCCGCGGCCGGCGCCGCGCTCGTCGCGCGCGCGGCCGCGCGCGCGCCCGGCGGCGCCTTCGCCGCCGACGTCGCGGCCGCGCTGCGCTGGGACGCGGCGGGCCCGGCGCCCGCGCGCGCCGGCGGCGCCTTCGGCGCGCCGCCCTTCGCCGTCGCCGTCGCCGACGGCGCGGGCGCCGCGGGCGGCGGCGGCTTCTGCTTCGTCGCGCCGACGACGGCGGCGAACGCGCGGCGCGTGCTCCGCGCCTGCGTGCTGCCCCGGGCCGTGCTCCTCGAGGGGCCGCCGGGCGTCGGCAAGTCCGCGCTCGTGTCCGCGCTCGCGCGCCGCGCGGGCCGCGCGCTCCACCGCGTGAACCTGAGCGAGCACACGGACCTCGGCGACCTCCTCGGCGGCGACCTGCCCTGCGCCGAGGGCGCCGTCGCCGCCTTCGAGTGGCGCGACGGGCCGCTGCTGACCGCCGTGCGCCGCGGCGACTGGGTGCTCCTCGACGAGCTCAACCTCGCGCCGCAGCCCGTGCTCGAGGGGCTCAACGCCGTGCTCGACCACCGCGCGGCGCTCTTCGTGCCCGAGCTCGGCGAGAGCTTCCCCTGCGCGCCGGGCTTCCGCCTCTTCGCGACGCAGAACCCGGCGGCGGACGGCAACGCGGGGCGCCGCGGCCTGCCCAAGTCCTTCGTGGACCGCTTCGGCCGCGTCGCCGTCGAGGGCCTCGGGCCCGCGGACCTCGTCGCCATCGCGTCCCACGCCTACGCGCTCGACGACGCCGAGGGCGCCCTGGGGGCCTGCGCGGCGCTCCTCGCGGAGCTCCGGGACTCGGGCGCGCTCGGCGCCGGCGGCGACGTCAACGCGCGCGACCTCGAGCGCTGGTGCGAGGTGCTCGCGGCCGAGGGCGGCGGCGCGACGCGCGCGCGGGGCCGCGACGCGGCGCTGCGGCTCTTCCTGCCGCGGTGCCGCGACGACGCCGCGCGCGCCGCCGTCGCCGCCGCCGTCGACGCGCGCCTCGGCGCCGGGCCAGCGGCCGCGGCGACGCCGCGCGTCGCGCTCCCGGCCGGCGCCGTCGGCGTTCGGGGCGACCGTGCTGCCGCGGCGCGT